GTGTGTGTACCTGTGTCTAAGTCTGTGTTGGGATAAGTGCTCATGAGTGCAGGTGCCTACAGAGGCCAGAAGAGAACACCATAACTGCTAGAACTGCAATTACAGTTTGTTAAGACATGTAGGACTTAAGTTCTGGAATGAAACTCTGATCCCGTGGAAGAGCAGTAGGCACTCTTAACGACTGAGCTATAGTTCTGGTCTCAAGGATCTTTTCTTCCAAAGTGGAAATATATTAGTTTTGTCATCTTCTTCACCCAAATGACAAATAGCCCTAGGGATTCTGGATTTTATTTCGAATAGTGTAGGTCCGAGCATAGCTATAGACAATCTCCATCACTGATCATTTAAAAACTAGCAACTTTCAATGCAAGTTTAACCCAGTTTTTACTGTTTTGATGATACCCAATCATATTGTATTTGCATATTTCTCTACTCATTTGTGAACTTTAGTTCTTTAATCATTTTAGGTAGCTTTCTTACCCATTCAAATAATTCAATGAACATATGGTATGTGTTAGTCATATTCTGCATTTCATTGAATTTTGATTGTCATGTGCCAGTAATATAAAAGTAACTGTAGCTAATGAGTAAAACTTGCACAGGAGAGAACATTTTTTTTTCAAGCAATACATGGAATTTTTGCTGTTCTGAAGAACTTTTATTACCAGGTAGCTCATGAATTATTTGAGAATGAGTTGTGCTAATACAGCCTCTGCCAGTTGTCTTAGAAAACAAAATGTGAGAAGAGTCAGCAAAACAGTGAAATTCTAGGCAAAGCTGACAGCTTCAATTAACCTCATGAAAACTTGAGAATTTTGAAAGATAACTTTTTTCATTTATTCTTCTAAATTAACACACACACACATACACACACACACACACACACACACACACACACACACACACACACAAACCCACCTTACTTCCAAAGGACACCCAAGACTGACAGGGAGAGTATGGCACATTTATTTATACTGAATATTTTCCATTATTTACAAGGAACACTTGATTTTGTAACTATTTCATACAGGGATTTGGATGTCAAGACGAAAAGCAGGGAGTGTTTTTGTGCCAGAATTAACATCTCATAAATCTTTAATACCTGAAAAAAAATCACTTTTGATTGTTCTTCCAATAAAATTCTTGAGTTAGGAGGAGGTTGAAGTTCAGTCAATACAGTGCTCATAGGCAAGCAAGAGAACATGAGTTCAATCCCCAGCACCCATGGACAAAAACCAGGCATGATGTGGCATATCTGTAACCCAGGCGCAGGAAGGAAGAGATGGAATCCTAGGTGCTCACTGGCCTGCCTGCTTAGCTGAATATTTAAGCTCCGGGTTCAGTGAGAGACAATAAAATGATGATGATGATGATGATGATGATGATGATGATGGTGATGATGATGTAGAAAGTGAGTAAGGAAGACACCCAGCTTTGACTTTTGGCCTACACACATGCATGCCTATACATACACATACACACAAAATTCTTACAGTGCTCAGGGGAGGGAATCACTCCCATACAATTGTACAACAACAGCAATTATGAAGATGCTATAATTATTTTAAAAAAATTAACTTTTTTATCCATCTACTGATATGTAAATATGGGTAACAGGTGTTTTTAGGTTTGCCTAATCACCAGATGGTAGAATAGATCTCCATTGCCTATGTTGAAAACAGTCGTATCATTAGAAGATATGGAGAACTTAAGTACCATAACTTTTTAATGGGAAAACTTACAAAATTGCCATAAGTAGAAGTCACTCTGTCACATTCCACCAGCACTTACCATCTCTGATATGATTTTTGTTATCCTTGAAAAATACCCTAGTGACAGGAAATCTTACATGGCTCCTTTTCTGACTTTCATTCAGCCAAAATGTACTAACTGACATTTAGACAAGATCAGATGCATTCAAGGTGGGATGGTCATAGATGTAACTGATGTTCAACATGGAGTCAAACCTGTCTGTGATGATTTGGGAGAAGGGAGGGAATTTTTAAATTTACAAAACTATTCTCTGCCATCCCAGAAATTATAACTTATCTGGTCATAGAGAGAGTATATATGTGATTTGTTACTCAGATTTCTATCACCATGACAAAATACAAGAGGCAAATTATGAAGAAAGGTTTATTTTAGTTCATGGTTTCAGAGGTTTCAATTAATGATTGATTGGCCCCATTACTTTAGGATCTATGTCAAGGTAGGAGTTTGGTGGAGCGAAGTGCTCATCTCAGAGTGGCCAAGAAGCAAGATAAAGAGAGAAGAGATGAGGTTTAACTACCTCCTTCAAGGGCTCAGCCACAGTGATTTGACTTCCTCCCATGAGGCCTCACCTGCTAAAGCTTCTGCCACCTTCCAGTGGCACTACGAACTGGTGACCAAGCCTTTAGAAAATGGCCTTTAGGGAACAAAGTCAAAGTCATAGCATTATATGACTTGAAAATTATTTACATTAGACACACACACACACACACACACACACACACACACACACACACACTATACACAATTAAAAGAAAACAAACAAACAAATAGAAAATACTGGGGCCCTACATGGATATCTTACAGATTTGTGTAAGCATGGCCCTTTCCTTCCATGCCTATACCCTGAGGCACACAGACTTGTTACCAGGTAAATATGGAGGTACAGGCAGTTGGCCTAACTTCCCAAGGAATTAATAAAGACAGGCGACTTGGGAGTGAAGACAAATTTTGATACATACAGAAGAGTTTTAGAATGAGAAATATCTCAGCTTCAAAAAATGACCTTGTGATCTGAAAATGTGAAGATCCTGTAAAAACATAGCAGGAGGTAGACAGATGATATGAAACTTTGAAAATGCAGTCATTGTTTGTCCTCATGGACTACTGCAAGGAAGGCAATATTATTTAAATGTCTGTAGGGAACCTGCTGGAGAAAACTGAAATTTGATCACAGCCAGAAAGTCACTGATTGCTCCTTCTCTGACTCAACTTAGAGTCCCCCAAGGTCAAGGTTACAGGAACTTGGTTGCCAATGAGAGTTCTCCAACAGAGCAGACAAAAGAGTCAGGATACTTTAGTCCAGATCTTTTCACTAACATTAGGGTCTATTCAATATATCATATTCAGTGTGTTTCAAAAACTATCCAGACACATTCAATAGATGGAGAATTGTCTCACACAGAAATTATACTTGTTTGCATAGTATATCCATTCTAAAATATGACTAAATGAGGTTTCCTGCAGCGTCTGCACTAGAAATAGTTTTCAACCATTTGTGCTCATTTACATCATTGAGAAGATAATCTTCATTCTAACTGTTCTTAGCAGCACAGTCCCAATGTCCTCCTGTTTCCCTGAATATGGGTGGCTGCTGGCTGCATTTCTAATCTCAGGGGATTTGTCAGGTAAGCTGTAAGATGCCCATTGCCCCAAACTGCTTATGTTGATATTCTTACTCTCATTCTGTTGTATTTATGAGTCATTTTGGAATCTGGATTCCTATGCTCAAAACAAAATTTTACATTGCATTCACACATGAAGCCAGTGGGACCTCTTTGTTCCATGGGTAGGCAATTCAGTTAAACCACGGTGATTAAAGTAGTGAAGCAGCTGGGCCTGCTCCAGTAACGTCCTAATCCTTGTTTGAGAAATTCTGACATCTCTTTTGTCCCTGCTGTCCCCACTCTGTCCCAAGGACATTATATAGGACAGTTTTCAAATTTGTTGCATACAAGCAGCCATGCTCTTCTTTTCATGAGTGTGTGCACCAAGCCATTCTCACAGTTTACTTCCCTGCTTTCTGATCCCTCTTCCAGCTCCCTCTTTCCACCCCTTCAGCTATTTCATTCTGCATGTCCTCTTGACAGCTCAGCTAATCATCTGGGAGTCATTTTTTCCTCAGTCTCTCATGGCAGCAACTGGCTGCTGGGATGCCGTTGTCACATGACTCCATTAAGCACTTCTCTCAAAATTTCTGCAAACATGCTATTGTCTTCTACAAAGGATGGCCTTCCTGGCCTTCTTTGCCTCTGACCTTGTTGCA